CTTTCATATTTGTAACAAGAAGTCTTTTCACGTTTCCAACGTGACTGACTGGTAGTCCATAAAAAGGACAACAGACGATGATCTCAGATACCAGGTACAGCATTGGAAACTCTTTGACCAATAAAAAAAATTCAAAAGAACGTTTTTGCTGGTGTTATTACGAACAATTTTATAAATGTTCAAGGCTAGCATCACAAGCTAAGATAGCATGACTAGAATCACAGCGTCCATACGCCAACCGTTTGCAGCCGAAGCCAGGTAGATTATAGATTTAAAAAAGCTTTTAGGCTCATCAATTTGATCTAGCTAAGGTACAGGCTATGCAGGGACTGCTACCCCACCACCACGTGCACCACGATCTTGCCTCTAAAACTGATCATAAAAAGGAAAGCCTTCATCGTCAAGGATCTTGTCGTGTAGTCAAGTTTCCATTTGAACAACAAGATGAGGATCACATCAAAGAAGCAAAATTTCTGGACTTTCGGCAGTTTCTGGCAGTCAAACCAGATACGCGCAACTTGTGCATCGGAAGCTGGAACCGTATTATGATCATGTGACGGGATAGGTGGTTATGCATTACAGAATTAAAGGTTGCTAATGTATAACCCTGTTTTTTTTTAATCTTATTTCTTAACTTTGAAGTCAAAATGCTTGACGCTTTCTTTCGTCTTGCTTAGTCTTTCTCATTTCGTATATGTCCTTGCACTTCTACTTTATCTTCCTTTGATTCTTCCCTAAATATCAGTTGTGAGTCAGCGCCTGTCCGCGTCTGTCTCTTCCACTTGTCCTCGTCTTTAGCGCTACTTTTGATTGTGTACTGTAACCGTACTCGTCGGCTACACAGGATTTTGTCCATTACAAGCGTCATCTCACACGTAGTATGTATACGTTATCGATATGAATTTTTCGCTTAGCAGGGAAACTTTTCCCGTCTTTTTGTTTCATCGGGTTCTGCACTTTTCCCAAGTAGTTTTTGTTTTGTTAAAGGGGTATTCCACAGATTTTTTCAGCTACCTCAACTAACTATATTTTCTGACTCCCCGGCCTTCAGCCTTTCCGGAAAATAATGCAAAAACCAACATTCAAATATACGCGCACTTTTCAGTGCGCGTATAGGCAGGCTTGCCAGTCGAACAAGCAGTTTAAAAAATAATATGACAATCATTTGTTCCCTGCTGGAGCGCGGGTACTAGAGAGAGCTTCGAAATCATTAATTTGACACCATGAAACTGCTTTGAATCAGTTGGGAACAACTTCTACAGTCCAAAGAGTGAACCCCTGCTTTCCACTGACGTCACTTTTTTGTTGTTGCCAGTAGAGACTTTCAGTTTGAAAAACATGGTGAGGACCAAAACTGTAAATTCAATAACTTCGCGAAAAAACAATATTTATCCTAGTATTTGGGGTACTATTTTAGCGATGTTTGTTGGTTAGTTTAGCAAAATTTCAAGCAAATCGGAGACAATGAAAAAATCTGTTGAGTACCCCTTTAACGCCACAACTCACTAGTAATTTTGGATAAAAATGCTTGTTCATTTTAGCTTTCTCGCGTTATGCATTTTGGCTTGTTTTTCCGACTAATCCTGGAAGTACAGTATGACTGGTCGATTCGCAGATAAATTTGTACAACGGTCTAACATTTTTTCCTTAGTTTATCCTCCAAATCTTCTTTAGGTACTTCACCCCTGAGCAACGATTCTGTTTTTATTAGGCGATTTTAAGGCTAAGAATACCCAAATTAGCTTTCCGACCTCGGTCGACCGAACGAAAAAAAATGTTTTACTATAAAACTTAATTGTCTGCCGGATTCTGGCGACGCAATCATTTTAACTGTCAAAAGCCTCTGTTTTAGTATATATTTTAACGTTACTCTCCAGTTTGTTCATTCGTACGAAATATAGGTTCCCGTAAAATAGTGTAGGTTATTTCAAGGAACTATGGTAGCATAATGAAAATGATAAAATCTTTCAATAGTTATGTAATTTAAACCAACTGTGAGACACATTAGCATAAACTATCGAAAGACTAGCAAGAACACAAGGAAAAGTTGAAAGTGACCATGATACATCCTAAGATAAATTGCTACTAGAATTTTCTTTTAAAAAAATCGGAAAGTGATACAACTGGAATTTAATTGTATTTAATTATCCTAACGAAATTAAGATAGTACTATCGACAACTATACGACCATTTAAATAGGTTCTAATTATAAATAACACAGGTTTTAATAGCATAAAACGCAAATATAAATTTTGCCTCTAATTGTAAATAACACTTAAAATGCACATATTAAATTTTGCATACAATATTAATCCTGCGAATACGTTTCGGGCAGCATAACCGCAATGTATTTATTTGCAGGCCCATTGTTAAACGACCTCGTCTTTTGATGTGTTTTATCGAAACGTCGAGTTGTATGTAACAAGTGAATTTTCGGGGAGGCTGAAGGGTAGGTATTTTTATTACCTGCACAGATGTGTATTTTAATGTACGCAAACTATCGTAAGAACGCCCACTGAAATTAATGCAAGAGTGATGTCATCTTCACCCTTGCATTAACTTCGCCGGTTAAGAACTCATAGTTTCAACCCCGGAGAGTGGAGAAACAAACGTACAGGAAAAGACAAATTTCCGATAAGATATAGATAGATATAGATATATAATAATAATAATTTTATGTGTTTGCATATATATTTGCATATTTGTGTTGAAGATTGGAGATTAATGTTGCCCTGTCCTTCTGTTTCGCCACTCTGTAGGGTTAAACAATGGCAACGTCTATCGCAGCAGTACTAAAAGATGCGTCACATTATTATTCAAGCATGCGTGGCGGATTCGGCAACACGCACGGCTGCCACGCGAAGGAAGGGGTTCAAACCCCGCTTAGCCCCGTTCTTACTTTCTTTAATATGTACTCTCAAAATTCCAGGCCATCGTCCGCTGTCATCGTGGGTTCTGGTTTGGAGCGTTCCCGAACGGAGTGCGCGTACGAAAGCAGCGGCAACGCGCTGGTTCGCAGTTTTTTATTCCGCCGCCGACGCACGATTTGTGCTACCTTTCTCTTTATGTTCACATGCACAAGTTATAAAACTAAGCCACCGGTTGATTGTAGGAACTAAAACTATCGTATATATAATACTTTTAAGCTCCTAAAAGTAGTCTGACCTAAGAAGTTGTACAAAAAAGTTTTATAAAATCGTCAAGCGCAATGACTGCAACACGGCTGCTATAATTTTATTCATAACATGCTTGTTTCATTGTATACAAGTGAGCGTAAATCAAAATCTCACAAATATCACGAGGCAAGGAAAGAGCTAAAAATATTACAAAACCATGTGATCTTCACAAGAATTAGGCAAAACAAATATTTCTAATCATGCCAAAAAAGTTATCAGATGTTAAAGGTAACAAAAATATTCTTGGTGCTAATTCTTACGAAGTATACCTTGTTTTAGTAGAGAAACGGGTATTAACTCAAGCCAATAAAAAGGGGCACTGATATCCAAAGTACTACCTGAGGTGAGCGCACAAGTGCGTAAAAGCAGAGGTACTATGACAACCCCTGATAAGCAATAAACACCTTTGAAAAGACAATCGTGCAAATAAAAGACAAAACTTCAAGAGCTACAAAGAAATATTAAAAATTTCTCAATATGACCATATATCGAAAAACGCCTATTTCACAGCAATTAAGGCCCTTAAAAATAAAGGTATAAGAGCTCCCAGAAACCAATCCAACCCATTCAAACTGTGACTAAGACAGTTCTATAAACTCTGACTAACATTAAACTCTGGCTAACATTAAAAATAATGTAAACTTTGACTAACATTAAAAATAATGTTGCAGAGCAGGTTGATAATTGTAGAAAAAGTTTAAGAAATGCGCTCAAAACGCGGTTAAATATATAACTAAGACGCTACTTAAATTTAGAAAAAGCTAACCCTGGAATATACCAAATATAACAAGCTTCAATGAACTATACAACTTCAGTTTTTCACGTGTTTAATGTATTCACCGATTATTCAATAACGCTGTGCTGTTCTAAATTTATTCTGATCTTTTTGCAACGTCTGCCTGGACTTGCATCGTTTTGTTTGTTTGGTTTGAGTAGTTTTAATGTCTTATATTGCATTGTAATATTCGTTAGGGATCTATAATTTTTTATAATTATACCTGAACCTCACTACGTTTTTAACGTAATATTTGCAGTTTCTGATAGTTTACGGTTAGGTACTCTTTCGTTTTATTCACCCAAGATTAACAATAACACTACGATGTATAACGGGAACAGGTGGCGTGGAATATCAAGGACTGGCCTTCAGTCGGTACCCAGCCCTTACCAAAAATTATACGGTTTCAAGGTCACCCAGTTTTTCTTTTTCTGATACTGATTGCATCATCTTTAATGTCTTTTCATAGGATTCACGATCCCACTTATCGATAATTTGCCTGCCTCAGATACGCAGCATAAACTCAATATTAGTTCATGTATCTTTTTATCAGATAGACTGAAAATTGGTGTGCAAACAATCAGAAAAAATTCTGTATGCTGGCTTGCCTAAAGTGATGTTAAGCGGAGCAAATAATAAATATATGTATTCGGATTCTACCAAGGGCTATTGTGTGTGTTAATATTTCTACTCCTTGTTAGATACGGTCCAAATGCGATTCGAGTGGTTTAAGAAGTAGTGCACAAAATGCGCTCTCTGAGTTGAGGTGAATGACCACCACTTTCATACTTGTGGGTCGCCGCTTGCCGCATCCAAGTGTTCGTACTCGCGCTGCCAGCTTCGCGTGTCAGCGCAGAGAAATCCCTCAGAATAAGCGGGAAAAGATCTGTTACGATGGCTACGTAAGAGAGCTTTATTTGCCTTTATGGCTGTCTAAAAATAAAAGATGCCTTCTGCGAGCAGCGCGGCAGTCGAGTAATGCGCCAGGAACAGCATAAGAGGTTCCTCCTTTTCATTTTTTGCGGGTTCCTTCCCAAAGGGTGACTCACCGTTCGCAGGAAGGAGATGTCATCCTGCTCGGACGAGCCTTCGGCGTCCCCCATCTCCGCAGAGGCTCGTTAGGCCTAGGGCCTGGGAGCCCGACACCGGCTCACAACCTCACACCGTGGCACAGAACTCGACGCCGGGTACGGGGGCCGTCGCTCACGGCATCGGGCGTCGCACGTGGCCTGCAAGCACGCTCGGTATGGCCTACAGGTGTCGATGTTGGGGCACAGGTATCCGCTCTTGTTTTTCGTTGTTTTCTTCGGGCAGGCGGCTGCGGGCACGCGGCGGCAAGAGAAGAGCAACTAGGAGGAGTCGGCGAAGAACGAGCGACCGCTGGCTGCCCTAGATGGCGCCTCGACGCCCCGAGGTTCCGCGGCGAGTTGCGTTCGGCTCAGCCGAGGGGCGCCGCGGAAGAGAGGAGAGACACCCCACGGGACTTCGTCGGCCCGGGACGACCTACTCGAAGACGAGCACGGGGTTCTGCGTTCAGCGGCAGCTGAACGCAGCTGCCCTCCCTGTAGCGCCGACGTTGGACCACGTGTGTCTCGTTGTCTATTGCGCGTATCTTCCTTCTTAGTCGTGCCATATTTATGCTATCAGTACATGCCGTGCCGGGGATACGTGACCGAGTCTGTGAAGGCACTGGAGATCGGTAGACGTGTAGCGAAATCTCGTGCTCCAGAGCCCAGGGTACACGTAACAGAGGGCGTTGGAGAAACTGTAGTTCATACATGAAAAATAAAAAAACTCAAACAGACACAGAGTTGTTTGAACGAAAATGTAGAAAATTAATTTCTTATATTTTTTTTAAGTTCAGCTATCTTTATCTTTGTCGTTTTCTGGTACCTTTTTTTCTAGTATTTTTGTTTTCCTTCGGTTCTTTTGTGACCAAAGTGGTGTTTGTGGTGCAGTGGACATCATATAAACGTGTCGTTGCTCGTTGAAAAGCTGTGAACATCTGTCCTTCGTCGATTTCAGTGTTTTATTCTTCCTTCGTGAACCAGAACCCAGAAATCGTGGGTTCAATCCCAGCCCCTGTCCGTTCCAGTATTGATGGGCGTCCTACCGGCGTGGGATACTTTATCACCACTGCGTGACGCACCTTCACAACCCCAGGCAGCCGTGGTAATGTTGGCTAAATTTCTCATCTAGATTGTAGATACCAGACTCACGTTGTGGCTGGCTAACTTACAGCTGTCTAAACTTACATGCAGCACATTTACTCTCTGCATTCTGTGCCGTCAATTCGTTTTGCAACTCGTTCTTTGGTTTTCTGTGCATAACTCTTAGAGCGTGGTGCACGAACAATTGTTCGAACATGGCAAGGATTCAAGTAGCCAACGTTGTTAACGCCGTGATATCCTAGCTGAATGAAAGCTCAAGCTCTTAACTGAGACATCTTGCCCTCAGTCCCCCCTCGTGCTAAACTTGCACCAGGTTGCATGTTGCATCAGGTTGCATTCGTGTACAGACTGCTGAAGAATGTCCCTTAACAAGCCCAGCTTGGCAGTCGAACAGCAGTACTGATCCGACCTTATGAGTATCTCTGTTTTACGGTGGCTTACCTTTCTGCTTTCTATATGGAGCCGGGAGAGCAGATGAAAGCATGCGTTGACGTCGGGATAGTGGGTAGACCCAGAGGCATGCTGCTCTGTCTCAGTGAGACAGTGGTTTCAGACGAAGGTCAATCAGAGTCGGCGCTCTGAGGTCACGTCTCATTTTCGCCTCTCCTTCGGTTTCTCTTCGTGTTTGGAGAGCAAGTCGTCTGTTTCTTTTGCAGGAGTTGCGGTGACGTCAGAAAGACGCCGAGCTCTGATTGGCTCTGACAGAAGGATAGTGGTTAGACCCCAAAGCAAGCTGCCTGGAGGTATACCTACTATCCTTCATTCAGAACCAATCAGACCTCGGCTTTCTGACGTCACCACAACCCTTGCAATAGAAGCAGACGAACTTGCGGGCCGCGTATGTTTCTGCACGAAGCGGCATTGCTACCGGAAGGCTGCACCTTCCAAGCATGCTCCCCAGAGCGCGCAACGAGCGTCGATGTGCCCACGGTAGCCTGCGGTTGTATCACGCTGATAAAAAAACAGGCGACAACATGGCGTGCAGAACAAGAACGCAGTTTAAAGAACGTAGGCGGTCGTTATAGGATACCGCTAGAGCGCCGATCACATTTGGCGTGTTTAGTGCATTGCCACGCGAGGCGATGCGCCCGATGCACCCGATACAGCGGTAAGGCTATGCTAAAACTGCCATACATCTCCGTGCGCCACATTATTTTTCTTCATTAGGTGCGCAGACGGCAGATGGGCATTAATATGCTCCACACATTCCAACAGCGAAAATGTTTGTGCCACAGGAAACATGTAAAGGTCGTACATTGCTCAAGAAAACGTGAAATGGCGTTTTAAAATCGGAAAAAAACTGATTTCGTGCTGTTAAAAGGTTTCCGGAAAGGAAATTTAATCTCGACGGTTAGACACATTACTGATCGAACAATCATCCTTATTCTCGGACTTAAAAGATACGAGACCGGACTTTACCACTCGTTTTGAGAGAGTATCATTATGTTGCCTTAAAGAAGAATAAGCCAGTTAATGCTAATTGCTGGGATACATTTTAATCGCTAACTATACTTCGTCGCTAACTATACTTCATTGCTAACCATTCGGAGCGCAAGTTCGTCTGCTTCTTGCAAGGGGGTTGCGATGATGTCAGAAGGACGCCGAGCTCTAATTTGCAGATTGAGAAAAATAGGGGGTTGACCTGAGGTCTTCTAGATTGGGGTTTACACACTATCCTTTCAATCAAAGCCAACCAGAGCTTGTCGTCCTTCTGACATCACTGGAACTCTCGGCCAAGAAGCAGACGGTTTGCTCTCCGCGTAGTCTAGACGCAGTCAACGCTACCAGCCGATGGAACCAATCAGAAAGCGGAAAAATCGCCCATCATGGTGTTTGACAAGTTTCTGTAATTTTTCTATCATCGCTGAAACAATAATAAACAAATAAAAACCAGTGAAGCTTATTTACCAAGGGGCACCTTTAACTGGTTTTTTCTCACTTTTTGATTTCTGCCTGAATAAATATCTTATGATCTAACAACTTGCTTGGAAATTAAAAACAGATTCTCGCTTCACTGACCTCAATTTTATCAATTTTATACGAAAGACGAACAAACGTTGTTTCTAATAAATGCAGAATTCAAGCAAACGCAAACTTGTTACAATTACACTTTTTCAGAAATTATACTAGGTGAGGCAAGACAAAAAATAACAACAGCCTGAAAAAAAAAAAAGAACTTTAGGTACACCTAAGCATTCCTTATGAGTTGTGAATGCGAAAGCATGCAAGCCGCTCGTCCGCTCCCTTTGTCGTCTAATGCGTACTAGCACGCGCGCGCTTCGAGATCTCGGAGGCCATGGCGCAGCGGCCAATGGGAGTCCCGTCGACGCGCGCCAGCCAATGGAACAGAAGGCGATCGCGGAAACCAGGAGCCGTTTCGGCGCTTCAAACTGTGACGTCAGCTCACTCCATGAGACAGTTAATGCTGTTTCATTAATAACATACTGAGACTTCCATTCTAATATCGGTGCCTGTTTACTGCGGCAAGTACGCGAGTGTGTCCTTGCCCCATTGGCATCTCAACTGAAAGTATCAAGTTGAACAAGAAAACTGTTGCGGGTCACGGTTTCTCGCGTTATCACTTCTCTTCATTATTATCCAACCTTTATGCACCAGTATGTACTCCAAGTTGTTAGAAAGAAATACCGAGAACTGTATGCTTTGGAAAATATTCTATAATCTTTAGAATCGCTTGTCATATTAATATAAGTGAACGAAGTCACCCAAAATAAAAGTTACAGTGCAGGCGACCTGGAAAATGATCATAGTGGGGAAAAAAACCTCGCTACTAAGAAAAAAAAAAAGGGGGGGACAACACAACACAGTCTCAAATATAGACGTTGTTTCAAGCGAGGTATGTTGTTCTTCGAGACGGTGTTGTGTTGTTCTTTTTTTTTCCCCCTAATTTAAAGTTTTGTTTTTTATGAAATCACTTGCTAGCTGTCATCTGAAACTTATGCATAATACATTAATGTAACCAAGAATAATAGGCACGTTTGGGGAAAAGTGCACAATGAGTCCTAATAGAAAATGATACTCTCCGTCTTACTATTTGGAAGATTGCTTATTTCCGAATATAAATATATCTGAAAATTTACTAGGATATTGAACGGCAGTGACACATGAATTCCAAGCATGTGGCAAGCTACCAAAAGTGTATTCAGTTAGGATCGAATAGAAGACGTACATACCGGAGTTGTAAGTCAGCTCGCATTGTTTCTTTTGTCCGTCTCCGTGCTGTGTCCTCTTCATGCTGCGCTGCTGCTTCGCTCTACCCACCCTACGCATATTCTTACGAAATATTTGATTATCTTAGCCAACGCCGGTACGACTGGCATCTGCTGGCTCAATATGTGAACATCGTCATCCTGGATTCAGCCAAGTCCGTATCACTTCCTACTTCTTTATTTCATTTGACCTGTGTCGCCCAGGGGGCGTTATTGTAGAAAAGTTGGAAGGTAAATATATACAAATGTAGACATATATACAGACAAATACATACAAAGATATACGTCGAAATGTAAGTATGTCTAATAATATTCGGGGTGCTTGATTTTAATTTAAACAGACTCCTTTTTAATAAATGTGCTGAGAAAACCATAAGTGCCGTTTTCACCATGTGTGTAGCAGGCTCGGCGGACATTAAGTTATGAGATAATCGTTAGGGTAAGTAGGCCAATTAACTAAATTTGTTAATTAACTTCCTAGATACTCGTTTTGAAAGTCATGTTACAATTGCAGTATTGGCGGCAATTTCAAGTTAGGCCAGCCCAATTAAAACAATTTACAAAAATGCAGTTTTTTTTATATGATTGATAAACTTTCCCTTTCTTTACACGATTTAAAAATTGCGTGCAAAAAGCGATCCGCAAGCTTTGCTCACAATGACTCTTAAAATAGTGGCACAGTCGTTTCACTCATGTCGTCCCATATCTACAGCGTGTTCTCGGTGAGCGCGCAGACGACAGAAGTGACTATGCGACTCGAACGACTACATCATTCCTCTAAGTTTCATTGTGGGGAGGGCTTAGGGTGCGCAAAATGTGCGAAATTTCTAAATCGAGCGAGAAAACGTGATAATTTATCGAGTAATATCTCAAAAACATCCCATTTTCGCAAATTCTTTCAATCGGTTTGGCCTCTAATTGTAATTTCGGTGAATACTTCAATTGCAACACGACCCCTAAAACCAATCTTTAAAAAGTTAATCGAAAGATTTC